TTGGTAAGCACGATGATGGAGTGCGCTTGGAAGTAAGGGCGGAGTTTTCGAGCAGACATGACCAATTGCCAGAGCCAATTTCTCAATGTTAGAGTACCGTGTCTCCGCATCTTGTAAGGCTTTGCTAGCGTAGTAGACAGGTCGCTCAATATTCCCATCCTTTCGAATGAGAACGGAACTTACGGCTGAAGCTGATACCGATAGGTAGATAATGAGAATGTCTCCTACCTCGGGCTTGGAGAGTAGAGGGGCTTTACTCATGTACTCCTTGAGGTTTTTGAATGCCTCGGCACATTCATCAGTCCATGTAATGTACTTCCTACTTCCCTTAAGTGCTTTAAAAAAATGGAGCACATTTGTCTGTGGCCTTAGAAATGAACCTGGTTAAGGCTGCCTACCTTGCCAGTAAGGCTCTGGATGTCCTTTGAAGTTACCGGTTCCTTCATGTCGAGGATTGCTTTGATCTTCTCGGGATTAGCTTCAATGCCTCGTTGGCTAATCATGAAACCTAAGAATTTGCCAGAGCCTACGCCGAAGGCACATTTGTTTGGGTTTAACCTCATTCGATACCTCTTCAAAATAGTGAAAGTTTCAGATAGGTTGGTGATGTGTTGGTCAGCATGTTTGCTCTTGACTAACATATCATCAACGTAAACTTCCATGCTTCTTCCCAATCTGCTCGGCGAACATTGAGTTGACTAGTCTCTGATAAGTCGCTCCTGCATTCTTTAGGCCGAAAGGCATGACTTTATAGCAGTATAGTCCTCTGTCGGTAGTGAAGGCTGTGTGTTCTTGATCCGAAGGGTTCATGAGGATTTGGTTGTATCCTGAGTAAGCATCCATGAAGCTCAGGAGTTCACACCCGGCCGTAGAATCTATAAGTCTGTCAATAAGAGGAAGAGGGAAACTATCTTTCGGACACCCTTTGTTTAGGTCGGTGTAGTCAACACACATCCTCCACAAGACCTTTTGAAGCGAAAGACTTTCTTTTGTTGGATTTTTCCTAACAAGGACCACATTTGCTACCCATGTCGGGTAATTGACTTCGCGGACAAAGCCTATGCCTTTGAGTTTTTCAACTTCTGCTTTCATTGCCTCGTATCGTTCAGCGTCATAAGATCTTCGCTTCTGTCTCACCGGCTTGATCTTTGGGGTCAATACTCAAACGATGACAGATGACATCGGGAGAGATGCCTGGCATGTCCTCGTATGACCAGGCGAAGACTTCAGTGTTCTCTTTCAAAAAAGATATCAATGCTAACCGAAGGGGTGGTGACAATGTGGTGCCAATATTCACCATGCGGTCTGGATGATCTCTTGAGATAGGTACCTTCTCCAACTCTTCAGCAGGTTGGGCTTGCTGGGTGAAAGAGTCATCTCGAGGATCATCGGGTTGATTGTTGCTATCAGGAAGATCCAAGTTCGCTTCATCTAGGCTGGTCTTTGTGACTTGGTCATGTACAGACAGGGTTTCCTTGGGTCCGGGCAAGTGTTGTTGCTTAACTGAAGTGTTTGTAACATGATCGTGCACTAAGCTGATCTCCTCTGATGTAGCCGTTGCCATGGAGGGTTGGAAATTTCATCAACAGCATATGCGTGGATACCATAAGCCTTGAGATCATTGATGCCTGTGCGCCCAAAGATGACATTGTATGCCGTTGGGCAGTCAACCACTAGGAAGTTAGTGGTAATGGTAGCCGTGTAAGGGCCTGTACCAATAGTAAAGGGTAAATGTATGCTCCCTAAGGGTTGCACGATATCACCGGAGAAGCTTATCAGAGGAGAAATCGAGCGATCGAGCAAGTGTTCAGCTACACTGAGTGCCCTGAAAGCTTCGGCAAACATGATATTGACCGAAGCCCCTGTGTCTACGAGGATTCGTCGAACATCAAAGTTGGCTATGTGAGCCTCCACGATCAATGGGTCGTTATGAGGGTAGATGATGCCTCTTTCTTCCTCAGGGTAGAAACATATCGGATCCCAGTTAGGCTTTTGATACTTCCCTCCCCTGATGTCTTCCACGTGAAAACACTTGGTGACCAGGCCTCAGAATTCGTTCACTGTTTTTCATGGCCCTATTGGAAGATTCAGATATGGGTGTGCCGCCGCTTATGGAATATATGACATTCACCTGGCGTTGGTTACGGTTATCCCTTTGAGGGTGAAGGAAGAATTGATCAATTTTTCCTTCTCGTGCCAAAGCTTCAATACGATCACGGAGGATGATACATTTCTCGCTATCATGGCCGTTATGCTCATGGTAGCAACAAAACATGCCCGCGTTATTCGGGGGCGTGTAATCTGGGTGCCTCGGCTTTGGCTTTGGTATCAGGTGAGCTATGCTGGGGTAAATGGCCGCGCATGTGGCATTCAAGGGCGTGTATGTCTCATACCTTGGGGTAGGGGGTATCTTGACGCGGGTTTGACCCACTGCATTGACTGCCTGGGGGTGAGCGTTATTGTGGCGATACCCTTGGTTATCGGGATAGTGTCCCTTACTCTTTTTACTGAAATGAGAGTGGTGAGGATGGAAATCCTTCCTCTTGCCTTGAAATTGATATGTCTGTTGATTCGGCGAAGCATTATGCAAGGCATGGGGAGGTGCCACTGCTGTTTGGAAAGTCGAGGTCTTCTCATTTAGGTGAGTCTGGCTTCCACCTCCCACTTGTTGATAAAGGATGGTTGTAGGGGGTTTCTCCTGATATGTCTTTGCCTCGGCGGAGGCATGGTTATAAGCCTGCGCCATCACCTCAGAGTAAGTCTTCCAAGTATTGGCATTGATCATGTATTTAAAGAAACAATCACGTAGGCCTGCCGTGAAGGCTTTGAGGGCAGTCTTGTCGTCTGCCTCGGCACACCGGGAGTATTCATAGCTGAAGCGGCCAGCATACATACGTAATGACTCGTCTGGCTTCTGGCGGATAGTGTACAGGTCATCTGCAGAGTGCAAGCGATCGGTTTGGAAAATGTGTTGGGAAACAAATAGTTTCCTCAATTCCTCAAATGAGTCTACCGTCTCAGGTGTAAGACGACAATACCAATTTAGAGCTCCGCCAGAGAGGGTGGAGGGGAAGAGAAGACATCGCTCTTCGTCGGTGTGCATCCGGTATGCCATGGTGGACTCAAAGAGGTTAAGGTGCTCAATCGGGTCCTCTTTTCCAGTATAAAGTTTGCAAGCCAAGCTTTTGCTTTGTCTTTGCTTGAAGGGGGGTGTTGAGGATCCTCCTTGTAAGAGGGCCAGGCCTGGGTTGGTTCCAGTCAGGTATTTCAGCCTGACGTTCAGCCTTCAACTTGTTTACTTCCTCAAGAAGTTGTAGGACAAGGGGGTCCTGAGCGGAGTTAGGTGCCACTGGAGCTTTCTTTCGTAAATCTCCATCTCCTCTTGGAATTAGGAAGGTTTGATCAAGGGCATGTGATTTTTCCCTGGACTCGCTGCTGTACTGGCTTCCAGGGTATGTCTGTCGGAACACCTCTGAGTCCCCTGTACCCTCATGTCTCTCTAGGACTTGTTGCCCCTTCCCCAAATTGGTGGCCGGCTCGGGCCGTGGCAGGGGACCGAGTCTCTCAGAAATCCTTGGGTCATTGATCTTTGAGCTTATATGGATGGAATTCTCTCGACGTTGCTTCAGGAAATCCGACAATCGCGAAAGACGGCTTTCGATCCTTCTGCCCCTTCAGCAAAGAGGTGTCTCCCTCCACTTCTCATGGTTCGGGTCGAAGCAACTGGGTTAAGAGAAGCCTCATGTTGATTATCAAGTCGAGGGGTAATCTGTTCCCTATCAGGGATATCTATGTCGAATGCATGTGACCCTCCATGTTGGAGGGCACCCAGTTGATGGTTGACTTCCACGGGGGCAACAAGCTCGCGTGTCTGAGCTTGCCTAGCTTCGTGGAGTGTCTCGAAGAGCTTCTCATATTGCTCCTGGAGGACCTCATTCCTCATTGCTATCTTGTTGTTCTGAGCTTCCAACTCATCGACTTTAGCTTGAAGAAGAACTCGTTTTCCTTCCTTCTTTCGTTGTTTCGCACTATGTGCAAGGGGGGTGTCATTATGTGTGCTGTGGCTTCCTTCGCTTCCCATGTTGGAGAGGGATGCCTGGTCAAAAGAAAGTGTACGAATGATAGAAACCAGCTTGACACAGCTGAAGAGAGTAGGAATAAGTGTCGTTCCCACAGACGGCGCCAAATGTTGATGCACAAAATCAGCGAAGACTTTGGTACAACAGAAAGTGTCAGGTTTTGTGACCTTCGCTTGGTTGCTTCGGTCACTAGTGAGGATAAGTACGTAAATGAATAGAGACAGAGAAGCAAACACAGGATGTACGTGGTTCACCCAGATTGGCTACGTCCACGGAGTAGAGGAGTTCTTATTAGTAGTGAAGGGCTTACACAAGTACAAAGGATCAAGCTCTCAATTTAGTGAGTTCTTGTGAATGATTTTAACACAAATGGCATTAGGCCATATTGTGGGGGAATGACCCCTATTTATAGAAAAACTTGTAGCTTTGTCACATTGACATGTGTCATGTTATGATTGGTTCTTGATGTCGACACGTGCTGCGCTCTGATTGGCTTCTAATCTTGACACGTGTCGAGTAGTGATTGGCCTCCTGGTCGGAGGGGAACTCTTCTGGGTCCTTGACAGTATAGCGTTGGCCGGTGCTCGGTAGTTTCGGGATTGGTCAAGTATGGTACAAACAAATCGTTTTGATCATTTTGTGAATAGCTATGTTAAATAAATATTAAAATGATAAAACTACCCTTAATTTAATAAACAATAGATCAAAATGATTTGATAACAATTGATAGTATTTTTATCATTTTATTCTTATTTAATAGAGATTTTTCAAAAAAATTATCAAAATGATTGACGGTGGACAAACCTATAGACTATTTATATCATTTTTAAATTTCAAATACAAAAATAAGGAATTGTGTAAATCTCAAGAATTATTGTGAATAAAAACTAAACAATGTTCAGCGGGAGATGTGATACCATGTGATTGCAGGGGAACACCAGCTCACCAACAGTACAGAAAAAATAAATTCTCTCACTTTTTCAAGCCAACCTTTGGTCTTTACATTCCAAGTTTTCAACGCCGGAGCGAGTCGTGACTCGTGAGACATGGATCCGAATGAGCAAGGTAATACTAATATGGGGAGGGCGAAGAGGTTTCTGGGGCTGACTCAGGACGAGTCAGAGGCCGTGTCGCGACTCGCGGTTCCAGAACAGGCAGCAGGCGCGGGAAAGAGCTTCTATGACGCCTTCGCTGTTGCGGGAATCCGAGTCGACCGAGTCGAACCCGGACTCGTCGTCTGTTCCTTCAAGGTCCCTCCCCGCCTCACCGTAAGTCATCTAATTAGTTCACTTCCCTGCTCGTTCGGTTACAAATGCATGTAAGTTTTGCATTGCATTTCTTGAAATTTGGATTAGTAAAACCATCATCAAACGCCGAATTAGCTTGAATTGTTGGTAATTTAAGCTCTATTTTAATTCTTTTCAGTTAAGTGAATGGAATCTCGGAAATGTCAAATTCGCAACCAATTTAATCTCCACTTGCTTAGTGTAAATATATGGTTTGTATATATACATACATATACATATATATATATATGTATAAGTCTAAGAATCCATAAGAAACCTATTAGTATTTGACAATTTGTTGTGAGGAAGCACAACAATAGGTCCCACACACACAAGTCGCTATTGCCGATATTCCCCCATTTTAGCCATCGGAAGAAACAATTATGGGGTGGTACCAAAAGGCCTCGGCAATATGTGTGTGTGGTACCATTGTTTATAAAGCACTACATGCTCATCTCACAAGCTGATGTGGGACTCTCAATCTCAAATCTAAGCCACCAAAACCAACAATCTCTACCTTGGCTTGATTCGAGCCATCTCTAAATCCACGTCTCACGATCCAAATACAAATAAAGCTCCCCTTGATCACATGCAACAAATTCCAAATGAGATATCCAACTTTAAATATTGTGATAGTCAATAATACAAGCGTTGCCTGGGGCCTGATACCAATTGTTGTGCGAAAGCACACCAACGGGTCCCAGACACGTGAGTCGGTATTGTGATATTTCTTCCACTTTAGCCACCCGGAAAAATGGTGTATAGGGTTTTACCAAAAAACCTCGACAATGTGTGGTACCATTGTTTATGAAGCACTAGGTGCTCATCTCACTAGCCGATGTGGGATTCTCAATTTGGCTCAAACCTAAGTCACCAAACTCAACAGTGTTCTCACAATGGAGTTGAATTTTGTGCTTTAAACATCTTGGGACTATCACACTTAATGGCCACAAATTAGAAAGCACTATGTGTGAGGGGACGTGTTGAGGGTATTTCACAATGAGGATGGAAGTTTCATATACCACTTTTGCATTGCCTATTCGAAATGTAATATGTGTAAGCGTATCTCCACCCAAAATAGGATTGAGCATGCCATAGAGTCCCATTACTTGAACCAAGTTCCTAGTGTAACCATATTGAACTTCTTAGCCCTCTCAACCAAACAGTTTTAAGTTTTATGTTGGACACTTGAATACAATTGGTGTGTCTTAATATGTCAAAAAAATTTAGTTTTAGTTCTTGTTTGTGTTTGCAGGATAGAAGTGGAAACTTGGCAAATGGTGCAATTGCAAGCCTTGTCGATCTTGTTGGAATTTCTCTGGAATTTGGCGAGGGACTCCTTAGTGTTTCAATCGACATGTCTATCTCGTATTTCTCTACAGCGAAGATTAATGTAAGCATAGCCTTCCCCTCAAATCCCTGTTTCCGTATGAAATTCCACTCAGTCCAGCATCCTTAACGGACTTTCTGGGCGAATTTCCATCCCCTATTATGACGTATATGCATTGCCAGTATTAATCAAAGCTGTACTAGTAGAAAGTTTGTTTGTTGCAAATGATCTCTCTTGACATAAATTTTTGTTTTGCAATTTTTCTGTTTCTAGTGTTGGGATTTACCTTGTCATGCGCGCTTCACCTCTCGTTCGAATTTTCTCGGATGTTCCCGAAATGACTCTTATCAGGCGATACTTTTTCCTTTCATGTCAAACTGCAGGACGAGCTAGAGATCACCTCAAAAAGAATAGGAAGAAGAGGAGGTTATACGGGAACGGTGGTAGTTTTGAGAAACAAAACAACGGGGGAGATTATTGCCGAAGGTCGACATTCGTTGCTCCGTTCACGTCGTTCTAGCAAACTCTGAGTTTCAACCTCCCTCCCCTTGAAAATTCGATGGCGATGGTCTTGAGGTACGACAACAAACAACTTGGCACAAGTTCTGGTGGATTCCACGGAGGCTCTGTACATTTATGGTAACATTCGCCGTTCTTAACCACAATTTAAAGAACGAATGAAATTAGAATTGTTTTAAAAGCTGTATATTGGTATCATATTATGTAGCTTATGTATGAACACGTCTTACTTCCAAGATAAGATCCTTGAGATTAGTTTATCTCTGAAGAACCTCCGCTAGCAATTCCGAGTAACAGCGATCACAAAGAAGTGAAGAACCAACTTCAATTGCTTGAGAGTATTAAAAGACGGTAGAGGACCAGCCTTCATAATAAAAGAATTGTGCTCGTTACTGAGCTTGTATTCATTTACTGTTTAAATAGAACTTTACAAGTAGAATTTGAGTGAAGAACAAACTCTCCACAAAGATAACTTACAGAAAATATAAAATCACAATATTATCGGTCAATCTATTTGAGTTCAACAAATATTCAAACAGGTAGGAGATGAATGAAGATAAGCCTTGACTGATTCCTTGTTTATCGCATATGGTTGTTGTAGCGGGAACGGAGTTATTCAAACTTGGTTTATCACACCCATGCAAGCTAAGCGGTCGTCGACGAGCGGGAAGCTTGGAAATGAGATAATTGAAATGATAAGTGGACAGTCATTTGGTCAAGAAATCAGCAAGTTGATCTTGCGTAGCAACATAACCAACCTGTAATTCCTGGCGTGTGACATTTTCTCGAATGTAATGGTAATCAACTTTGACATGGTGAGTGCGGGCATGAAAAACAGGGTTAGATGCAAGGGAGATTGCAGAAATATTATCACACCACACCTTTGGAGGAGACAGATGAAGATGCAGGTCTTTAAAAAGCTGACGAAACCATGAAATAGTAGTTGCAGTTATGGCAAGTTGTCTGTATTCTGATTCTGTGCTAGAGCGAGACACTCTTTTTAGAACTCTAGGACACAAGGTTTGGACCAAGAAATATACAATACCTGCCAGTGGATTTGCGATCATTGGGGTCTCTTGCATAATCAAAGTCGGCAAAGGCAATGAGTGTGAGAGGTCCAGGTTTGTACACAAGTCCATGATCTGGAGTGGACTTCAAATAGCGAAGTATTCGTTTAACAGCAATCCAGTGTGTTGTGGTTGGTTTATGCATGAACTGGCTAACCTGGTTGACAGAGAAGGCAATATCAGGGCGGGTGAAAGTAAGATATTGGAGCGCATCTACGACACTCCTGAACTCAGTGATGTCTAGTAATGGTTCGCCATCGTATAAGGTGAGGCGTTTGCCACTGACTGCAGGAGTGGAGACCGATTTACAGTCCACCATGTTGTACGTTGAAGCAAATTAGAAATATATTTAGACTGTGAGAGATGAATGCCATTACTGGAGCGATGAACCTCCATACCCAAAAAATAAGTGAGAGGACCAAGATCTTTCATTGAAAAAACCGAGCCCATGTCATTGATCAAGGTGTTTATACACTGAATGTTGTTGCCTGTGATAAGTATGTCATCGACATAGATTAATAAGTAAATACGAATTAAACCATGACAATACACAAAAAGGGATGAATAGAGATGAATTTGCTTGGGAGGCCACAAAACTAAGGTGTTCTAGATGATTAGAAAAACATTGGAACCATGCCCTAGGGGCCTGTTTAAGGCCATACAGAGATTGCCACAATTTACAAACATTTGTGGGATATTGAGGATCAACAAAACCCGTGGGTTGTTACATGTAAACTTCATCAGATATGGAACCATGTAAAAACGCATTATGAACATCCAGTTGGCGTATAGGCATGAAAAATGAACAGCCATAGCAATAATAAGACGAATGGTTGAGTGTGTTACCACTGGACTAAAAATTTCACCATAATCAAAACCTGGTTGTTGATGAAAACCATTGGCCACAAAACGAGCCTTAAACCTGTCAATAGACCAATCAGACTTACGTTTAATACGAAATACCAATTTATTTGGTAGTACATCATGGTAGGAGTATAGGGTACCAAAGACCATGTGCCCACATGTTGTAGTGTCACGCCCCGATCCCGACATACGTCCAGGATCGACACGTGACGTTACAAAATACTCGTATCACTCACATACCTCGCCTCCGGGATATGGACAATGCACAACTCAAGATTTGAATTTCGTGATAATTTTTCTTATACTTTATGGCTGCATCTAACCTCTTCGTTAGACTGCCTACGTACCCTCAATAGGGATCAAGCCATTCGTAGTTCAACTTTGCTATAACTCGACATATAACACAGTCTGTACAAGCTAAAATGCATAACATTCCTCAATCAAACATTTGGACTTGACAAGCATGAATTATTCGATTCCAACTACATAACAACCCGCATGACAATCAAGGTTTCTATTTCATCCATCATATAAATCATTATGTTTCAACATAAAATCGCTATTCATATCATGTAATATATCAAAGAATCAACACAGCACAATAGTATCCTTTAGTCGCATTAATCACTGATATGATCATATTAATAACAATCATATTCAACATCCTTCCACAATCATCTCAAATAACTCATTCCATGATATCAAGGAGGCACGATATTAACATTTAATTATGTTAATCAGTCACTCAGATCACACCTCAATGCACAAAATTAATAAAGGACTTCTACATAGTTCTCTGCCTGGATTTCAAGTAATAACTTGATAAAACTAATTTATATTCACAAGATCTATTGTGGTTACATCTCATTCACTCGAATCCAGGGAACAAGTCTAACTTATGAAAATGAGCAAGAGTATGGATAATGGACCACTCAACGTAATCCAAATCAAGATACGATTCTGGACCATCACTCAACGGAATCGCAGAATATGAGGGATTTCAGACCATCTCTCAACCAATTCCGAATGGATACGATTCCGGACCATCACTCAACGGAATCGCGAAGTAGGAGGGATTCCGGACCATCTCTCAACGGAATCCAAACAAGCATATGATTCCCCCATCAAATGTACCAAGTACAATTAATCCTCCTCACTTCTAGAATGCATATGGTCCCCCAATGCGGATATACTACCAAGCAGGACCATTAGTGACCCCCCTAATGCGGGTTAACCAAGCAGGGTCAAGATAACCAAGTAGGTAGTGACTCCCCAACGTGGATTAACCAAGCAGGATCAGCCATGCACCACGTCTACATGGTGCAGTCTCATCATCACACCTTATACATAATTATACGCATACATGATATCGACTCTGCATATCAACCAGCATCTAGTCATATGGAGCACAACATAAGGAATTCCCTCAATTACTAATTCTACTAAAAATCTAATAAAGTACCGAATTCATCTCCTGACTTTCATCTCCATCTCATGCTAGGTAATAGTGCCAAGTTCAAATAAGTATTCAGTTGGCAATCATATCCAAATAATTATCAAACAATATTTAGATCCCATAATTGTCATAACATTCTTCATAATTATCATTCACATTATTAAAAGTTAATTAAACACATGTATATCACAAACATCATCAATACACAAGACAAATCATATTTAATTATCATAGGTCTATGGCTAAATATATATAATTCACATTTCAATAGAAATCATATTTATAAGACCAATTCATATTCATAAATGATACTAATATAAGAAATTAAGATAATAATCATATTTCATATATTCAAGTCGCTATCTAACTAATGTAGACCCACTAGACTTCACTTAGTCCCATGTAGTACTAATTTAGTAATTAGGACGTTTCGAGACATGTTGATCAAAAGTCAACTTTCAGTCAAAGGTAGGGTCCATAATTCTACACAATTTAATTCGGAAGATCCACACATTGAATTTCAGATCCGTAACTTTCCAAAGTCCACATTATGCTCAAATAACAACATACTAAAATCTCAACATGATCCGACGGTCGGATCTCCGCCAATTTCAAAATTCAAGTGGCGGTCAACATTTAATTTTACAAACTTAGAAATCCAATTAGGGAAGATCCGTAAGTCGGATTCTCGACTTGTAAGTTTCTATTATCCACAAATATTATGTTTTATCACGCATTAAGGTTTGGTGATGATCCAACGGTCGGATTGTTGATTCATATTTTTGACCTAACCACATATCGTAATGAAATTAGGTTCAAACAATCAAACCATATCATAAGAATATCAATTATGAAATCAGAGCATCTAATTGAACTTAAAAGGACATCATCGGCCCACTAGCCAGGCCGCCGCCACGGGTGGTGGTCGACCGCCCCGACTTGATTACCAAAAATTACAGAAATGAAGATCTCAAAGAGTAGAACAAACTTTATACCTGTGGCCAAGTCCAATTTGGCCGGAAAACACTTCAATTTCACTCAAACCCGCCGAAACCCTAGAAAATGGTGTGCTTTGATTCGGCTTCCAATCGAACTCTGATGCCTCCAACACTGCTTGGGCTTTGTTCCTGGGGTTGAGGGAAGTCTTTTGGTGGTGGTCATGGACGGTGAAACTTGCCGGAGCTAGCGGGAAAAGGGATAAAGTCGCCGGAACACCCGTGGGTTTGTGGCTTCGAACTGGAAAAATGGAAAAGAAATTGGGAAATCTAACACTACCAAGATGTAGGTCTCGTCAAGGGCTTTCCATGGACACCAAGATCACCCAAAACGGAGTTTGTATGAAGGAGATATGGCCGAGTCAAAAACGATAATTTGGGCGTCAAAAAGGACCCATTTCGGGTCTCTCTCCTTTGCCCTCCTTGCTTTTTTTCTAATTGACTCCTCCCCTTTTCTCTCCCGCACTCTCTCCTTTCTCCCCTCTCCCTCGCTGCCACATGGCAGCTTCTAAGCATTTATTTATTTATTTCTCAACCACTAAAACGTTTCTAATTTCTTCATTATAACTCCATTTTACGAACGGTTTTCGCCTACGCGTTCGTAAGATCGATCTCTATTCGAAAATATAACTTGTGACCTCGAATGGTATACTCATTTTAAACAATTAATATTCCAAACTTCAAACTTCGAAACTAATTTAATTAAAATCTAATTTCAAACAAATTAAAATAAATTCTTGAAAAACAATCTAAAATCTCAATAATACAAATACATAGATTATAACAATAAAATTCAGGAATGAGATTTCACATGTAGGGCATTGAATTCATCAGCCATAGCGGTCCTTTGAAATTTATTGGCTTGATTGTAGCATGTAGGTTCAGACATAGCAGTGATGGTGGAAGTATGGGCATATTTAGGGTTAGGTTTAGAAATGCCATCTTTTGCACGTGTAACCGTAGGATGGATAGTTGGGGGGGGGGGGGGGGGGGCTAGTGGGGTAGGATGAGATGAGGTTAAAGGTGATTGATTGAAATTTTGGGGGGGGGGGGGGTTAGTAGGGTAGGGTGGGAGGAGTGTAAAGGTGAGTGGATGGGAGAAGAAATAAGAGTCAAGGGGTGTGTGATAAAGACGGGTGAGGGAAGGTGATTTTCTGAAAGAGTGTTGGAATGGGTGATGGAAGTATTGGATAAAGTAGGATAAGGTGGCGAATTGGGGAGGGTGGGGAAATGGAAAAGTGAGTTGAGAGGTCCCAAGAGTAATAGGTCAAGGCACCTATACCCTAATTGATTTTGAGAATAACCTAAGAAAACATATTTTTTGGAACAAAAATGCAATTTATTTGACATGTATGGACGTAGGTATGGAAAGCAATCACACCCAAAAACCTTATAAAATCATAGGATGGTTCTCGATGAAATAACTTTGTGTATATAGAAGTTAATTTCAAAACTTTAGTTAGCAGCCGATTAATTAAAAAAATTGTAGTATGTAGGGCTTCAGCCCAATAGGTTTGTGGCATGGATGCATGAGCAAGAAGAGTGAGACCAGTTTCAACTAAATGACAATATTTTCGTTCTGCCATACCGTTTTGTTCAGGATGGTAAGGGCATGTATATTGATGATGAATGCCATGTTTTTCTAAATAAGATTGGAAATTGTTGTTAATATATTCTCCTCCACCATCCGTTTGAAAAGTTTGGATTTTTCGTTGAAATTTATTCTCCATTTCAATTTTAAATTTAATAAATGTGAAGAACACATCATATTTTAGTTTTAAAGGATATAACCATGTATATCGCTAATAATCATCAATGAAAATCACATAATATCGAAAATCAGAAATTGACAAAGTAGGGGATGTCCATACATCAGAATGAATAAGTTGTAAAGGAAAATGAGAAATAGAATTTGATGGTGAAAATGGCAATTTCTTGCTTTTGCCCAGAGGGCATGAATGACAGACATAATTAAAATGGTGCCTAGTAAGAGGCACTTTGCTAGTAGAGACTAAATGCTTTAAAATAAATGACGATGGATGACCAAGTTTGGAGTGCCAAATACGATCATCAACCTTTTCAAGTAGAATTTGAGTGAAGAACAAACTCTCCACAAAGATAACTTACAGAAAATATAAAATCACAATATTATCGTACAATCTATTTGAGTTCAACAAATATTCAAATAGTTATGAGATGGATGAAGATAAGCCTTGACTAATTCCTTGTTTATCGCATATGGTTGTTGTCGCGGGAACGGAGTTATTCAAACTTGGTTTATCACATAAGAGATACAAGTATTACGACGACGACTACAACAAAGCTTAATCTCATTAAGTGGGGTATGCTGTATGAATTCTAAAACACTACTGCGCTCGATTTTACACCAAGTTTTACATCGACGGGTGATAATTTCACAGGTGACACCCCCATTTATTCTCTAGCTCCTACTCTTCACTTTCACTTCTTTCATTCTGATCTTATCAAGGGGCTTGAGTATGATCGATGACAAATCCAACTTTCAAATCTACTGGCGCTGACTTCTGATCAAAGCCCAGGGTTAGTTTATTCGATGGCAATTTAAGGTGTCCTTCTCCGTCGTAAGAGAGGATTAGAACAAAAAATGGTGAGGGAGAAAGAGGTAGAAAGACATAGGGTTGAGGGGAAAGCGAAATGGGTGGGAGTGGGGGCAGAGATCGGAGACTCTAGCAGAAAATTGGGGTTCAATTTTTTCAATCAACTTTTTTTTTTGTTTTTATTTTAATTTATTTTCTTTACGAGTTTGGTTTGATTTTTAAAAAATACGAATTTAAATCATATTATCAATAATATATTGTAAGACTAAACTCATCATTTTCAATTAGCATAAACAATAAAAAAAATTAAAAAAAAAAAGAAGGAGAAAAAAAACTCAAATAGTAACGAGTCATAAAGATAGGATACAGGCCAGGTGTCACTGCCCCAGCTGTCCATTCCCTGAAAAATTTTCCCCATTATTGCTCTTACGTACGTACGTACTTTTTCAAGTCGGCAAGGTCATTGGTGTTTAAATTCGAACCAGGCCGGAGCGAGTCGTGACTCGTGAGAGATGGATCCGAATCAACAAGGTAATAGTAATATGGAGGGGGCGAAGAGGTTTCTGGGGCTGACTCCGGACGAGTCAGAGGCCGTGTCGCGACTCGCTGTTCCAGAACGGGCAGCCGGCGCGGGAAAGTGCTTCTACGACGCTTTCGCTGTTGCGGGAATCCGAGTCGACCGAGTCGAACCCGGACTCGTCGTCTGTTCTTTCAAGGTCCCTCCTCGCCTCACCGTAAGTCATCTAATTAGTTCACTTCCCTCCTCGTTTTGTTACATTTGCAAGTAAGTTTTGTATTGCCATTTCTTGAAATTTAAAATCATCATAAAAAATTAAAAAAAAAAAAAAAAATCATCATCAAAAGCCAAATTAGTTTGAAATGTTGGTAATTTAAGCTGTATTTTAATTCTTTTTAGTTATGTGAGTCGGATCTCGGGAATGTTTTCGCAACCAAACATTTTTGAGTTTATGTACAATTGGTGTGTTTTGATATGTCGAAGGGAATTGGATTTCATCCGGATTCATTTTGTAGTGATCTTAAGGTTGCTCACATTTTAATCATTCATCGTATATCGTGCGATCAGAAATTATTTAATTTTTTTATTTAAAATTAAACACAAATAGTACTCGACAAAAACTGATTACACGATATACGATAAACGATTAGGATGTAGAGATCTCTAGGATCTCGAAGTTTTAGTTTTAGTTTTAGTTCCTAATTTGGAACAAGGATCCTCTCCAGATCTTCTTTGTGAAGATTCTTTTAGATTCTTTTTGTGGGGATTCGGAGATCAATCAATCTTGTCCGTTCATCGTATATCTAATGGTCAATTTCATTAGATACTATTTATATTTAATTTTAAATTTTAAATGATTCTAATCGTACGATATACGATAAACTAACAAAATTAATTGATATTCCGAATTTTCACAAAAAGAATTCGGAGCATGTACGATAAACGAACAAAATTAATTGATATTCTGAATCTTCACAAAATTTGAGTGGGGTTGTCTTTTGGCCTTTTTATGTGGATGATGGCCAGTAGAAAAAATGGAAGACTAACAAACGGAAAATTAACAAGGGAAGAATTAAAAATGTTTAGGTGTAAAACTGAAAATTCATTAGGTGCTTTTGGTTGGCCCATGTTTGTTGGACTGATTTAGGTTAGCCTTTCTCCTAATCATTGAATAAAATTATTACATAATTTTTTGTTAAAATTCTAAATTTTGAAAAGAAAATTAATGAAAAGGGTTTTAAAACTTTTAATTTTAACGATAAATTGCAAAACATAGGATAAAGTGAATAGTATCAGATTTGATTTTTTAATGTAAAAATATGATTTTTCATTAAAGTAAACAGTACCGTAGACTTTTCATTAAAACTTCAAATTTTGAAACCCTTATTAATAGATTTTCTTTTAGTAGTTAAATAAAGAACACAGAATTTACCAACTTGAATCCTCCGCCCATCCCCACCCCTTCCCATCATCTCTTCATGTTTTTTCCTTGGTGCACTTGGCCACCGTCCCCATCAGCGGAATTGGCATCAACCCAGCTAAGAGTCTTGGGGCTGCCATCATCTCCTAACCGTAAGACATCTAATTGTGTTTGCAGGATAGAAGTGGAAAGTTGGCAAATGGTGCAATTGCAAACCTTGTCGATCTTGTTGGAATTTCTCTGGAATTTGGCGAGGGACTCGGTAGTGTTTCAACCAACATATCTATCTCGTATCTCTCTGCAGCGAAGATTGGTGTAAGCATGGCCTCCCCCTCAAATCCCTGTTTTCGTATGAAATTTCATTCAGTTCAGCATCCTTAACGGACTTTTTCTTGGCGCATTTCCGGCCCTATTGTGACGTATGTGTATCGCCGGTACCGGTCAAAGTTGTACTAGTAGAATGTTTGTTGGAAATGTCATGCGCGCTTTGTATTCGATCTGCATTTGAGCATTTCTAGCTTATATGTAACACACGTCTCGTTCTAATTTTCTCGGATGTCTCGAAATGACTCGTATCATGCGATACTTTTTTCTTTCATGTCAACTTGCAGGACGAGCTAGAGATCACCTCAAAAAGATTAGGAAGAAGAGGAGGTTATACGGGAACAGTGATAGTTTTGAGAAACAAAGCAGCAGGGGAGATTATCGCCGAAGGTCGACATTCGTTGCTCCGTTCAAGTCGTGCTAGCAAACTCTGAGTTTCAACCTCCGTCCCCTTGAATACTCCTATGGCGACGGTCGTGAGGTGAGACAACAAACAACTAGGCACAAGTTCTGGTGAATTCCACGGAGGCTCTGTACATTTAAAGAACGAATGAAATGAGCATTGTCGTAAAAACTTTATATTGGTATCATATTATGTAACTTATGTATGAACACATCTTACTTCTAAGAAAACATCTTTGAGATTAGCTGATCTCTGAAGAACCTCCGCTAGCAGTTCCGAATAATAGCGATCACAAAGAATTGAAGAACCAACTTCAATTGCTTGAGAGTATTAAAAGACGGCAGAGGACCAGCCTTCATAAGAGATACAGGTATTATGACGACGACGACGTCGACAAAAGGCTTAATCTCATTACGTGGGGTATGTATGAATTATATTACACCATTGGCTCGGTTTTGCATCAAGTCTTCCGTTAGCTAAAGTATTCTATGTTTTTTTTAAAGTCTCTTTCCAAGTCTTTCTAGGTCATATTCCACCCTTTTTTTCCTAAGCCTCTATCTCACAATCGTATTCTAACCGAAGCATCTATGGGTTTTCGTTTCATATGTCCAAACTTACTTAGGCGAGGCAAGACCTTTAGATTTCAAAACTTCTTGCCAAAGGTTAAGCTTCGCATTTACTCCTCATACATTTCCTCTATCAATACTATCATTTGCGAAAAACATACACCAATGGATAGTATCTTGAACGTAATATGTTATCTCATCCATTACCAATGCAAAAATATAAGGACTTAAAGTTGAACATTGGTATAACTCTATGATTATGGGGAAGCTTTCAGTTTATCCGTCATGAGTTTTTACTGCAGTCCTTAGTTCATCGTACATTTATTGCTTGTATATATGCTATTGGTATTCTTTTCTTCTTTAACATCCTCTAAAAAATTTCTCTTAAAACCCTATTATACACTTTTTCCAAGTATTTATTAAACATAAATCCATACAGAAATTAAACTTTTCTTTATGCACTTGAAACTTTTTCAACTCAAAAATTGCAAAAATAAAAAAGGGTACTTATCTCAAAACAATGGGCCAAAGGAGACGGATATGTCACATTGCGAACTTGTGGCAGAAGCGCCACCGTTCTTCAATGCAGTGGTCTAGAAAGCTCACTCTTTTATTCGTTCGACGAGTTCATAGTTATTAATGTACAAGCCGGAAATGATTTCATTCACGTATTTCGTGCGCTTATGTACATGGTTTAGCATTTGTTCAACCATGGTACATAACATATTGTTGATGACGTACAAACATGTAACGTACATTTTCGACAATATCAAAGTGCATTTCTTCTTTATTAAAAAAAAACATACATAATGCTCGGAAAATATTTATTTGGTTAGTTTTCGAGCGCTGCTGCTACTGTCGCCGCAGGACTTGGAGAATTTTTCAGGAGACTTCAAAAGCAAAACAATGATGGGCTGTGGCCCATGTAGGAGTTCACCAATTATCCAAATCCAATGGAAACCCACAGGCCCATTGTTGCTCTTACGTAATACGTACCTACTCGAGCCAGCATGGTCTTCGGCTCTTTATATTCCAACCATGCCCGGAGCGAGTCGCGACTCGTGAGAGATGGATACGAATGAACGAGGTAGTGCTAATATGGAGAGGGCGAAGATGTTCCTGGGGCTGACGCCGGACGAGTCAGAGGCTGTGTCGCGACTCGCTGTTCCAGAACGGCAGGCCGGCGAGGGAAAGAGCTTCTACGACGCTTTCGCTCTTGCGGGAATGCGAGTCGTCCGAGTCGAACCCGGACTCGTCGTATGTTCTTTCAAGGTCCCTCCCCGACTCACTGTAAGCCTTCTAATTAACTCGCTACCCTCCTCGTTTGGTTGCAATTGCAAGTAAATTTTGGTTTACATTTCTTGAAATTTGGATTAGCAAAATCATCATCAAAAGCCAAATTAGCTTGAAATGTAGGTAATTTAAGCTGTATTTTAACTCTTTTTAGTTGCTAATTTAACATGATTTTTCTTAATTATTTCAACATTTACACTGGTACGATCATTTCTCCTTACAATTTAGGGGCAATTTGCAAATTTACAACTCAACCTATGCTTACTTTTATTTATTTAATAAATTTAGGCCAAATTGCATAAATGATCCATGTGTTATAAGTAATTCGAAAGATAGTCTTTATGCTAAAAAAAACTCGGATTTAAACTCCTCTGTAATACTGCGTTAGCAAATTTAGTCTAAAAATGATTTTTTCTTAAAAGTGATTTTTTAGGCGCTCTCTCTCAAAAAAAAAGTAAAGAGAGAGAAAGGAACAGACTCAGACATGGATATGGGCATGAGATCAACCCCTTGTCTCTCCCTTGTTCTTTTTGTGTAATGACCAAAGCTTTTCTTCTCTTCTTCTCCGAAGAAGATGGCTCTGCAAGAAGAACCCCAAGAGCTCCAAAACCCTCCAATGGCATTCGATCCTTTATTATTCTGTGAAAAAGGATTTGAGGAAGATTTGGGAGACAATGGTAGTGAGGAGGATATTGAGAACTGTGATGGGTTTTGAAAAAAGCAATCATCTTTCCCTTTGATTTTCTTGGAAAGTGATATGTAAAACCAAGTTCCTAGCATAACCATATTGAACTTCTTAGACCCTCTCAGCCAAACAGTTTTGAGTTTATGTTGGATACTTGAGTACAGTGGGTGTGTTTTGATATGTCAAATTTTTAGTTTTAGTTCTTAATTGTGTTTGCAGGACAGAAGTGGAAACTTGGCAAATGGTGCGATTGCAAACCTTGTCGATGTCGTTGGAATTTCTTTAGAATATGGCGAGGGACTCCCTATGATTGTTACAATCGACATGTCTATCTCGTATCTTTCTACAGCGAAGATTGATGTAAGCAAAGCCTTCCCCTCAAATCCTTGTTTCCGTGTGAAATTTCATTCAGTTCAGCACCCTTAATCGACTTTCTTGGCGAATTTCCGCCCCTATTGTGTAGAAGCGTCACCGGTATTGTTGCAAATGGTCTCTTTTGGCATAAAACTTTGTTTTGCAATTTCTGTTTCTATAACAATTGATCTCTCTGTCTCGTCCTAATTTTATCGGATGTTCCCCAAATGACTTATAGCATGCGATATTTCTTTCTTTCATGTCAAATTGCAGGACGAGCTCGAGATCACCTCAAAAAGATTAGGAAACAGAGGAGGTTATACTGGAACGGTGGTAGTTTTGAGAAACAAAACAACAGGGGAGATTATTGCTGAAGGTCGACTTTCGATGTTCCGTGCACTTGGTTCTAGCAAACTGTGAGTGTTAATCTCATTAGGGTTCCTTTCCTTTGAAACATATTGTATTTACCATTCATGTTTGGCCATCTAATGACTTGTATTGATTCCAAATCTTCTAATGCTAAATACTCTGCAAGTTCCATCTCAACCTCCCGCTCCTTGAATTCTTGGACGGCGATAGTCTTGTGGTGCGACAACAATCAACTTTTCTTTGTGCACGCAATACATTTCGACTCAAAAAGAAATGAATAAGAGTAAGCTTGTACTTGCCTCAAAACAATGTGCCAAAAGGGACAGATGAAACATTGCAAACTTGTGCCAGAAGCGCCATTACGCGGTGGGAAAAGGCAGGTTGTTGTGTTCAATGCAGTGGGGCTAGAACATAATTTGACACAACGTCCAGCTTAATATCAAGATTTTCAAGCTTGGGGCATCAATAAAAAGATTGTACACATAATGTCAATTATCAACAGGCAAACTTATGCGCAACGATTTCAGTTGAAGCTTCGTGAGCGCTGATATCTCCGCCAATAGTCAAGCCTTCAAGTACATAGCAGCATGAAAAAAGCATGGAGTAGGAGAAAAGCACACAATCAACAGATGTCGTAAAAGGTTAAGGGCCATAGCAACCTTTGTCTGTAGTTAAAATCTTCAAGGTCGCTCAAGTCTAAACAGGTATCAAAAGTCCATAGGTTCTTCCATCTTTTAGACAAAACGTTGGTCCTCACAAACATATTTTGTTCGAAGGAATGAAAGGATGGGACAAAGGACTGCATCTGGTAAAGAGCATCTCCAATGAGAGTTTTCAAAGTTGTCCTTATCGCTGTACGCTGCATGCTATATACAAGGACTATGGGACTTCCAATGGGATGGAGCAGCTCTCCTTACTAAACTATAGAACCTTCCATGTGAAGGCTTTTTCTTTTTCTTTTTTCAATCGATGAGGAACCAACGGTCTAGATCTAGACAGCTTCTTGTTTTTTTATTTTTTTATTTTTTTTATTTTTTTATTTTTTTAAATGTTCTTATGTTTAGATCAATGATTTTTTTATTTTTTAATCCCTACCAAACGATAAGGGCGTGTTTGTTTGTCCTCTTTAACCCTCACTAGATTGGACTAGACTAACATCTAGTCTAATTCTGTGTTTGTTAGTATCAGGGATTAGCATTAGTGGGACTAGGAGGGATTCGCGCTCACTAAAAAGCCTTTGGTCTTAGCAAGACCCTCCAAAAACAGCTGGACTGCTAAGACCAGCTTCATTCACTCCTCTAATCCTCTGCGAGCTTCTTAGATCTCGCCCCTTCTGCTTTCAGACCCATGGATCTTGTCCTTCGCACATCAACAGCAACAACGGTCTCGCACTGCAAAATCAGGACAACGGTCTCAACTAGGGATGGGCAACGGTTATGGCGGGTGGGTAACCACGGTTATTTACCCATAACAGTTAATGCTCATATCCGCATAACCGTTTACCCGTTGGGTAATTGTCTAAACCGTTATACTCATACCCATAACCGTTTATAAACGGTTAACCATATCCATAACCGCATACCCATTTAACCGTAACCGTTTAATACCCGTTTACCTATTTACCCTTTTTAACCCGTTTATCTTCTTTTTTTACCGTTACTCCTTTTTCATCCGTCTACATTTTTTTAACAACTTGAAAATAAAAAAAAAATTGTCATAATTTTTTTTTTTTTTGACAATTAAACATCATTGTAGGTACATTCATCATACATTTCCGTATTTTAATTTTTGAAGTCTTTATATCATTCCAATAATTGAAATAATAGTTTACAGACGATATTTTTAACTGTTACCAATGAAGGTAAATATAATATTTGCTAAGTATTATTGGGTTACAAGAATTGTTTAGAAGACATTTTTGTCAAAGCATTTCTGTCAATTTCACGATTACCCGCAAGAAATTTAAATTAATTTGGCAAATTCTTGATGATGAGAATCATCATTCCTATAGCAGTGTTATTGAGAGAACGACCGATGAATTCCTTGCTAATTTATTGGGTGCTAAGTATTATTGGATCGAGAACATGATTTATGTTAGTTTTACATATATAAAATAAATAAGTAAACGGTTATCCGTTTATAACCGCGGTTAATACCCATTACCGTCTATTTAAATTTTCCAGGTAAACAGTTATACCCATAACATTTATTTATCTAAATGGTTATCCATAATCGTAACCGTTTAATTTAAATGGACAGATAACCACGGTTATCCATAATCAATGGGTATTTGCCCATCCTAGTCTCAACCACATGCTCCGACTGTAGACCAAACTTCTCAACCTTTCGAAAAATTTACAAACACGAAAAAATGAAAAGAGAAATTGATGAAGCAAATCAAATCACGGGCAGATATAGGCTTCCCCAAAGCTCATATATGTTGAAAATGGAGATAAAATGCTACTAAAGCAAATGATTGAATAAAAGAAGCATCTCAACATTTCAACAACAACGATTAACGGAACAAAGTCAGGCAGTAATAACTTGATCATAGGGAGAAATAACCCATCAGCTTGTTTCTAGGAAATGTGAAATTTTGCAGAAATTTTTTGCAGAAAATAGTTTTGAAGGATCTGAAAATTTGCAGAGAAAAGATGGAGAAACGAAGAGAATATGACAGGGTCAAAGAGGGAGAAAAGCAGATAAGTTTATAGGGAGAGGGAGAGTTCTTAAAAAATGAAAAATGTTGCATAATAATAAAATATTAATAAGCATGTATTAAAATATTAATAGATATGTATTAAATAATGTAATATTAAAGTTTGTTATTATTTTGATTTTTAATTCGACATTCCACCAAACCCTTCATTAAGTTAGTCAAACTTAATCTCTTAAACTAATCTAGTTCGAAATAATTCGGTACAACAAACGCATCCTTACCTTCCATTGAGGATAATATTTATTTAGAGACCTCAAAATTCATTTGACGTAGTCTTTAAAAATGGTGGGGGTGTTTCTATTTAAAGAATATCATCGAAGATGCTCTAAGCCTAACCTACCCTAGGCCCCTAACCACTGATTGATGCTTTTGACGTGGAACCCTTTTGGACCCTCATCCTTTATTAACAAAAAAATCTAATCATGTGATCCACAACTAGTTGACGTATCTAGCATCGCCCAAACCCAAAATGTAGACAACAAAATGGGATCCGGATCCGGATCCAAATTATGAGGATTTTAAGATTTTACATCTTAATCATTCATCGTGTTTCATACAATTAAAAATTATTTAATTTTTTTATTTAAAATTAAATACAAATAATATTTGATAAAAAACTGATCGCATTACGATGAACAACTATATTGTAAAGATTCCGATAATCTCCGCAAGGTGGATTTAGAGAGGATTCCCTAAAATCATTTCAGTACCTAACTCCTGCGATAATTACGAAAAAACGGTCGTATATATTCCCTACAAAAATTAATGATTTGATAATATAGATTTCCACTTCAGCCCTCAAACTTTCTCCGAATTTACAGACCTGCTTAATACACTTTTTTGCAAAACAGGAGGGGCAATCCACGTAATTTTGGCACTATCAAAACACACGATTTCCGTCGTCACTCTCACTGGCGACTGCGACTTTCTCCGCCACTGCGCACTTCACCATGGCCTCCGCAGTCCGAACTTCTTATCCCGCTGTCTCCCGAGACCGAAACGTTACGAAGCCCGAATCGAAGTTCACGATCCCTCCGCGTTTCGTCGACTCGCAGAACCGAAACAACCGATTCCGAGACGTTTCGTCGGCGAGCTCGCTGCAGAGAATTCGACTGCGGCATGACTCGGCCGTGCTCCGCCCCGTTGTCCCGCACAGAGTTAGGGTTTCTTCCAACGACGCTCAGTTCGGCTCGGAGGAGAACGAAGTTCAGGCGCCGAGTTTCGCCGAGTTTATCACCTCGGAGCGGGTCAAAGTTGTGGCGATGCTCGCTTTGGCGCTGGCTCTCTGTAATGCGGACCGTGTCGTGATGTCGGTGGCGATTGTGCCGTTATCGCTCTCTAATGGCTGGAGCCGCTCGTTTGCTGGTATTGTTCAGGTAGTTATCTCCTCATTTCTCCTTTTTAAATTTAATTTAATTTTATTTTATTTTTCTATTTTATTTTTTATTGAAATGATTTTATTTGAATTTATGAAGTATATGAGCATACAAAGTTTTGAAATTAATGCCTTCAGCTGAGGGACTGCTCCAAATCACCAAAGAGTTGAACTTGAATCAAATAATTGGTGATTTAAATATTGAGAAGCTGTTTAAATATGTAGATGTTGAATCAATGGACTCGATTTATTCTCATGATCTTATTATGACTATGGAAAGTAATTTCCACACACGCATTTTCTCTCCTTGCACACCCATGTTTATTTATGCCTACGGATTGAATAAATCAAACGAGAATCAAGGGACGTAATAACCAGGGTGTGGAAAAGGGGAAAATATTTAAGCTAAAACTGTTGAACTCATGGGTTTTCAACAAAATCGATCTAGAAATTGTTTTTGGTGATAGTGGGGAAGCTGAAATACTCATTTGAAAAAATGGTTGGCAGTCATCTTTCCTTTGGGGATACCTGGTATCTCCCATAGCTGGAGGGACACTTGTGGACTATTATGGTGGTAAGGTAGTCATGGCATGGGGGGTCGCTTTGTGGTCTTTAGCTACCTTTCTTACACCGTGGGCTGCGGAAACTTCTCTATGGGCTCTCCTTGCTATGCGAGCTCTCCTTGGAATTGCAGAAGGAGTGGCTCTTCCGTGCATGAACAACATGGTAGCGAGGTGACGGTGGTCTCTAAACTTCGTTTTTTGATTTATCAATCACATTAAAGTCAGTTTAATGATGTGCTTCTAGACGCACGGGTTCTTTTTCAGTTAAATTGTTGGTTAAGCTTTGATCAAGATGTGAACTTTGTGTTTCAGGTGGTTTCCTCAAACAGAACGAGCCAGAGCTGTTGGACTTGCAATGGCTGGGTTTACGCTTGGAAGTGCAGTAGGACTCATGCTTTCTCCAATCCTCATGTCACAAGGTGGTGTATTTGGACCATTTGTGATTTTTGGTTTATCCGGATTTCTTTGGGTTTTGGTGTGGTTATCGGCAGCATCAAGTACTCCTAACCAAAATCCTCAAATATCAAAATATGAATTGGATTACATATCGAACAAGGGGCAGAAGTCCTCTTTGGTGGAGAATAAACCTAAGACAGCCAAAGTGATCCCTCCCTTCAGGCGCTTGCTATCTAAAATGCCAACCTGGTCCATAATAGTTGCGAATGCCATGCACAGCTGGGTAATGCATATACATCTCATGTCAGGTTATTTTACCTGAGAATCATATTGTTAGTGTCCTTAACATGTGTTGAATATAACATCATCTAATTGGGGACAAAATTCCTATAGATAACTTTTTGTGAATTCATATTTGCTTTGTATCCTTGTATGGAAATTATATATGCTTGCACGGAATCATTATTTTTATTTCCTTTTTCAATTTTTGCAGGGTTTTTTCGTTATTCTTTCCTGGATGCCCATTTACTTCAACTCTGTAAGGCCTAATGTTTAAATGTATTTTCTTTTTTGCTTTCTATTGTGAGGGTTGTGTAGCTTATGCTTGACTCTCTACTCCAGGTGTACCACGTTGACCTCAGACAAGCAGCTTGGTTTAGTGCTGTTCCATGGATTGTCATGGCGGTCATGGGATATGTTGGTGGTTTGTGGTCAGACATATTGATACGAAATGGTACAAGTGTCACTTTGACTCGGAAGATCATGCAGGTATGTCAAGGAAATGCGGTTCTATGTACTAGTTTTTTACTATACGAGGCCTTAAACTTAAAGATGGATAATCCATAATATGGAGGTTCTCACTTCAAATATGGTAAGAATGATCAATAAAATAGATGGGAAGGAAACTCCTATATTTTGAGCTTATTTGCGGAAGGTTATACTTGTAATCTTGAAGTTTAGCATTATCAAATGTTTCTCATCACCGGGGATTGTTAAATTTCTAGTCAAAGTAGATCTTTGTTCAAGAAAAATTTTATATCCTATAATGTCATATATATGAGAGGTCGCACTTGGTGCGATGGCAAGTGCCTTCGCCCATGAGCGGTAGGTCTCGGGTTCGAGACTTGGGAGCAGCCTCTCCATAAATGGGGGTAAGGCTAGCCGACATTCACCTCTCCCAGACCTTGCGTAAAGCGGGAGCCTTGTGCACTGGGTACGACCTTTTTTAATGTCATATATATGAATTGAATTTCCAGTCATCTTATTGAATGTGAATATTATTCCTTCTCCGCAGTCAATCGGTTTCGTTGGGCCTGGGATAGCTCTTGTGGGTTTAGTTACAGCAAAAAGTCCAGCATTCGCATCTGCTTGGCTTACTTTAGCAGTCGGGCTGAAATCTTTTAGTCACTCCGGTTTTCTTGTAAATCTCCAGGTTGGCACAGTGAATGTTGTTAAAGTCAACTCTTTGTTAGTAGTTAGTACCCAGAATTGATTCTTTATTTGTATGGTGTGACTTAATTATGATGTTTCTTTAACCAGGAGATCGCTCCGCAGTACTCTGGTGTTTTACATGGTATGTAAAAGTAGAATTCAGTATATTAATTTTCCAAAGCTTAGTGAAATATACAAAATTGTTTAATTGGTAAAATTTGATATTATCCCGTTATTTGTTGTGTTAGGAATTTCAAATACCGCGGGAACATTTGCTGCCATTTTGGGAACAGTTGGAGCTGGTTTCTTTGTTGAACTCGTGGGTTCTTTCCAAGGATTTCTATTGCTCACATCACTCTTATATATTCTTTCTGCCCTTTTCTACAACGTCTTTTCTACCGGAGAGAGAGTAAATTTTGATGAACCTAGTAAGTATCATCGTTATTGATTCTTTAAACTTGATTTTCCGTCCAAGCCCCCACCCCGCTTTTAAACTTCCATTAGGAATTACAGATATTTGACTTAATGACCAATTCGTTGCCTTGTTATACCGTTTATACTCCTAATGGGTTGACAGTTTTATATCCCTAATGGCATGTGGATTGACTTTTGCTTGACAGTTCATGAATGATATTTTAAGGCTGCTGGTGAAGCATCAATTGATAATGATGAGACGATGTGTCTTCAACTGTAACTAATGGAGCAGTCTAATGGAATTGGACGGTATGTTGGAAAGCGACTTGACGAATGGTACAGATCGTTCGAAGATCTGTTCGAAGTCATCCGTTGTATCGATGAATAACCTTTTTGTTCAGTGTATGAATCCAAAGCGTGTACAGTGGATTTTCTAGTAGTGTTCCTCCTCCTCATGCATCAGTAGTTTGTTTCAGGTGCATATGGGGATTCTGGTTGCCAAATTTTGTAAAAGATATGTATAAATATGTTCCAGAGGTATGATGCCGGATTCTTTCCTCTTACCTTCCTCATTGATTGATTGTGGTTAACATCCACACATGCATGAATGACTGATGGTAGCATTTTGTTCGAGTGATATGCTACAAGTCAATATCATCATTTTAGATATATCAAGTAAAAAGTTGAAATTACGAGCGCACGATGAAAATGAACGCTAAAAATGAAGATTTGAGCAAAGGAAAATGATTTGCACAATCCCACCTTTTGCTTTCATCCATCTGTTTATGTTTCTTAATTATTTCCTATTTTATTCAATCAAATGGTTAGATAAAGAAATCGGCGTACAGAAGGAAAAGGAAGTGCAGAAATGGAGATGCAACCTATTAATATATTGTCTCATTGGAGAGATTTTTTAGTGTGACCGGTACACAGGATGGTACATCATGTGTCATTAAACAAATGATGGGATATGTGGGCTAAAAAGTTAATAACTTAAGAAATAAAATTTCCTACCATTCCTATAAAAACATGTGGTGTATCACTTATATTCCTGTCTTAACTAATAATTTCTCGTCCAATTGGACCAAATAACATTAAAAATTAAAACTATTCTTCCTTCTTTTTTCTGTTTTGGCAACCACTTTTAACATATTCTTGAATTCTTCTATTGACCAAATCATAACGTTGATAATTCAAATTATTGTTGCTGAGTTGTGCTTAATCAAAACACGGAATCACGATTAAATTACTAATCACTTGAATTAGTCTTACAAAGCATAGACATTAGTGGGCAAATCAAAATTCAGGACTTGAAATTTTATAGGTAAGAATCATAAATACTTGTAAGCAACAAATGCCATGTCGGTTTCGTTTCATCGAAAGAGATGATCAAAATCCGCATATGCCGGCCAAAAACTCCATAACTTGTGGCCATGAAGAGAACACCAGGTCCTCACAACCTGCAAACAAATCAGAGGAAGCAAATCTCCAGTTTCCAGCATGAAGATGCCAACAAGAACAAAACTAAGCAGCAGCATCGACCAAGTCTTATCAGGGCAGCGGTGAAGAAGGTTGCTGGGATTTTCAAAGTTCTTTTCGGGCAGAGAAAGGCTGCTGCTGTGATTGAAACAAGAAGAAACAGTTCTCGAATCCAAGGGATTTCGTGTAAGTTTTCAACTTTTGTGTTGCTTTTGCACAAATCTAAAATTAGACATGTTTGGAAGTGCTTTTAGAATGGCTAAAAGCACTTCCTTTCAGACATGCTTAGGATTTTTATTGATAAATTTGGATGTAGTTTGAATGAAAGCGCTTTTGAGTAGAAGTTCTTTCTGTAGAAGCATTTCCAATGGACTAAGATCATGTGTTTTGCAGCTTGGTAGATACCATATGTAGATGTGGTGCTTTCAAAAGTCGAACATTAAGTAGTTTTGTTGATGTTTTCTTCTGCCCTGCAGCTTCAACTGATCGTTCGGCAACTGATCGTTCGGCAGGGAGTGAGACTAGGAGTAGGAGCTCATCAAAGTTTAAGCTCTCACAGTCCACTAGTTCTGCCAGTGGATTAATTGAGATGACTAATTTCTCCTTCGAAGAGATTCTCAAAGCAACCGAAAATTTCTCTCCCGCGAATAAGATTGGCCAGGGTGCATTTGGAACCGTCTACAAGGGAAGGCTTGGAGATGGATCTCTTGTTGCTGTAAAGCGTGCCCGCAAGGTATGGATATTGGTAAAGCATTGTTCGGACAATAGTTAATGTCATTTTCTGTTAGCTTGCATAACGACTTGAAATTTGCGCAGGCTGTGTCCGACAAGCACTTAGCAATGGAGTTCAAGAATGAAATCCTTACCTTGTCAACGATCGAGCATCTGAATTTGGTAAGGTTATATGGATACCTGGAGCATGGAGATGAGCAGATTATTGTGGTTGAATACGTTGCAAATGGAACGCTTCGCGAACATTTGGATGGTAAGTCTTGTGAAAACTTATGTAACTTTATTGGGTTAGTAAGTATAAGCCGGAGAGCAGAGATAGTACCTGAGTATCTGTTAGACATAAGTTCATCAGGTGGAATATGTAAGTTCCGCCGAGAAACTGGAATTGTTACTTCAAAATTTCAAATAACAAAAAGAGTTAGATAAATCAAAGTAGAAATAACATAATACTTCGATCCAGAAATGTTGTTTATAAAAATAGTCATCTTTTCATGAAGGTATCATTGGAAATGGACTTGAAACCGGGGAACGTTTGGACATTGCTATTGATGTGGCTCATGCAATCACCTATCTTCACATGTATACAGGTATGTACATCATTTTCAATCCGGAGTACTCGACCGATAAATTTTTTTTCATTTTGCTTCCCAATTAGTTTGAGTAGACTTAGGAAATTGACAACCTAAAACATCTCATGTATTTGACAGATCCTCCGATAATCCACAGAGACATAAAATCTTTAAACATCCTCATCACTGAGAAAATTCGGGCTAAAGTAGCGGACTTTGGGTTTGCACGAGCATCTGCAGACCCAAACGCAACTCATATTTCAACTCAAATAAAAGGAACTGCAGGATACTTGGACCCCGAGTACCTCAAGACTTATCAACTCACCGAAAAGAGTGATGTTTACTCCTTTGGTGTCCTGCTTGTAGAACTTATGACGGGAAGACGACCCATCGAACCACAGAAGCCATCCAATGAAAGAATAACAGCAAGATGGGTAAGAGTATAACTGATTAAGCATTCTTTACATTACTAAACCAACATGAAGCTGGAAATTTGTTGGGATTGATGTCTGTTTCTGTATGTTGCTTTGCGGTAAAATCTTCCCATATTTCCACCTTACATGATTTAGCCATCGCTGAAGTCTTGTTTTACTCTTAATCTCCCCGATTTCTTTGACTTCCGACATTCATCACATGTTTCTGTTGAACTTTAGACATTCTGTCATTCATGCTCTAGTAACATCCACCATGTTCCTGTGTTGTATTTGCACATGAAACACTCACCATATGAAACTGCTACAGGTGCGGTGGCTCAGTTCATCCTCCTCTTCAGACGTCCTATTCCCATGTGTTAACACATATCAGCCTAACCATGTTAACACATATCAGATACCCGACAAAGCAAATTCCAAAATTAGAAACAGAAGAATTTCATCATTCAAATTACAACTAGTAGTTGAATAATTCTTGTAAAGATTGAAAAATGCATGTGCTTTTAGCTTCAAATTCATGAGACCGGTGAAGAAAGTTTCCGATCCCTATAGATTATCGGAGCACAAATGAACTGTTGTTTACATCTGCAGGCAATCCAATTGTTGAAACGAGGAGATGCGATACTTGTCATGGATCCAAGGCTACGGAGAAATCCGGCGTCAACCATGGTATTGGAGAAAATCCTGTTGCTAGCTCAGCAGTGCCTTGCACCTCTAAGACCGTCAAGACCCTCCATGAAAGAATGTGGTGAAGTATTGTGGGGAATTCGAAAAGACTTTCGAGAAAAATCCCTCTCTTCTTCTTCCTCATCTGCTGTTCATTATTCTGCCAATTATCCAGTGAGGGATCCAAAGATGACTCGGCAGATATCGTTTGGGATTGAAGATGATGATAGGCATAAATTTATCTCTGCCTAGCTTTTAAGAATTTTGCGTGAATTATTTACTTAAATTTGTTTTCTTCTTTAATTCAAGTGTTAATTTGAACAAAAAAAAAAAAAAAAAAAGGATCTTTGTGTATAAAACCCAATCTTCAAATATTGAAATTCAATGTCAATCAGATTTTGTGATGTCTGTAGTTCTTTCTCTCTTGAAAGGACATGAAAAACCTAAACCCAAACTGCACAAACTGTTTTATTCCATTCTTCGTGTAAAACCCCTTTTCATGCTTCCAAAGCTTTTGGACAACTTTTGGAAAAAGCACTTCTCTCATACAACAACAGAGTTGTATCATGACATTATTGGTTTTTTTCGGGTAAGTAATGTTAATCTTACCACATATTTGTATCATTATTTGTATTATCTCTCTAATAGAAGTGGGGCCCACTAACATATATGGGTCCATCTCTATTAAAGAGATGACACAAATATGTGGTAAAAGTAGCATTTGGGATACATATTAGTATTCCATCATAGCGAAACTTTCTTATCCTCCTTCATTCTTCTCGGCTCTTTTTGACATACTACAACATTGCACGATAATCCAAATCGTATATTTTTTTAGTAATCAATTAAAGATTAACCTTGCCAGAAATCAACCAAATTCAAAATCCTTTAATTATCTAACGATTATTCAATAAATAGACGAGCTATGTTATTCAGTTAACTAACACTTGTTAATCATATGGTTCAATGATTTTTAAATGGTGAATTACAAAGTAGACGATTTTGATCATAGTAGACATTGTCAATGTTATACCTAAATCGCAACCCCATACCTTAGTCAAGAGATGCTAACAAAATTGTTTCGCTCAGCTATAGATGTTTATCAGCCATTAACATGCAAAAAAAAATCTTATTATATTACATCAAAAACAACTTTCAATTAATTGTGAACGATTGTCGCTAACATAGCTTTACTTAAGCTCCCCTATAAAGAATTCTTACATGCACACGTGATCCAGATCCAAGGCACCTTGGATCAAATGCAATGACGTGGGATCCCTACCTAAAATTAAAAAAAGGCAAAAGAAAATGTCAAAATCTGATCCCCAATTGAAGCAAAAGCTTGTGATTTGCACCTCTCACTTACTCTTTAGGCTCCATTTTCATGTGACCGTTCACCTTCACGTTCACGTTCACTTCACTCCAACAAAACAAGAGAAAAAATAAACAAAAATATGAAAATTTTCAACCTCCCTCCTCCAATCTTCTTCTTCCTCCTCTCACCTTCTCTCTCTTCCTCTCTCTCTCTCTCTCTCTCTCTGATATTTTAGTTCACTTCCAAAACTCTCTTTCTGTTTGCTTCCTTGTCTCTTCCCCCACTAAAATATCTCTCTTTGGCCTTTATTTTATAAAAATATCTCATCCCTCCTCCATTCAGATTCTATGTTAAATTCCTTTATGCTCATAATTTCCAGCTGATTATATCACTCCAAGAACCTCACAATTCCAAAAACCAGAAACCCACTTCAAAGATGTAATCTTTTTTCTCTATTCCGCTTCTGGGTTTTGTTTGTTTGATCAATTCTCTTCTGGGTTTTTGTTTACAGTGTAAATCAACACACAAATTTACTAACTTTGCATTGATTTTTTCAGATACTTTTGAGGATTGGGAAGCTGTTGCGAGTTCAGCCATGGCACCTACTGCGAAATCGGACGGAAAAACAATCATAGACTCCGCCATTTCATCCAAGATTCCGGCGACCGCAAACCCTTTAGCCGAAGAACCGTCGCAGATTGCTTCCAACATCAATTACCACGCGAAATTCAGCCCCCACTTCTCGCCGTTCAAGTTCGAGCCGGAGCAAGCCTACTACGCGACAGCTGACAGCGTCCGCGATCGCCTGATCCAGGTACTGTACCGCCGTCTCTCAGCCTCCGGGATTTCATTGGCGGACGGTTTTGATTTTTATATTTTTCTTTGTTGGCTTTTTTTAGCAATGGAACGAGACGTACCTGCATTTCCACCAGGAGAATCCCAAGCAGACATACTACTTGTCCATGGAGTATCTTCAAGGACGAGCCTTGACCAATGCGATCGGGAATTTGAATGTTCAGAGTGCTTATGCTGATGCTTTGAACAAGTTGGGGCATCAGCTGGAGGAAATAACAGAGCAGGTAATCTCCGATACGATTTTCGTTCGTTTATTAATGTAAAGATTGAGTTTTTGTTCTTCCACTCAATTAAATTTTGAGCGTTTACTTTTAGTGTTGTTGAAATGAGTTGTATTTTTTACCTCAGAGGTTGTTAAACATTTAAAATGGATTCTTAACTGGTTTTTGTTATATGAATTCGACGTGCAATCTGTTGATGGATGATTGGTAGAAATGAATCTTTGTAGGAAAAAGATGCAGCACTCGGAAATGGTGGGCTGGGAAGGCTTGCTTCGTGCTTTCTAGACTCCATGGCAACGCTAAATTTACCTGCGTGGGGGTATGGTTTGAGGTACAGATATGGTCTATTCAAGCAGCGGATCGCCAAGGATGGCCAGGAAGAAACTGCAGAGGATTGGCTAGAGGTTCTGTATCACCTTAAGTTCTGTAAAATTTCATGTAGTTCATGAATTCTTACTGATACTTTTTTTTATTGAACTTTATGCAGAAGTTTAGTCCGTGGGAAGTTGTCAGGCATGATGTTGTGTACCCTGTCAGATTCTTTGGCCATGTTCATGTCAATCCTGATGGATCGTAAGTATCTAATACTGATAACAGACTAGATTCGTAGCTCCAAGAATGTTTTTTAATCAATTATCGTAAATTCACATGTGACATGATAGAACCGAGCGCAACGGCGTTCTAGGATTCATATAGCTAACCCCACTTAGTGGGAAAAGGCTTTGTTGTTGTTGTATCGTAAATTCACATGCAACTTGGTTGGTTGCTTGAAATATATGTACACTAACTCAGCAATAATTTCTTATGACTATATCACAGCCGAAAGTGGGTTGAGGGAGAGGTTTTGCGAGCTCTGGCTTATGATGTGCCAATTCCAGGATACAAAACCAAGAACACTATTAGTCTTCGTCTATGGGAAGCTAAAGCATCCGCTGAGGACTTTAACCTATTTCAATTTAATGATGGACAGTATGAATCTGCTGCGCAGCTTCATTCTCGAGCGCAACAGGTTGGTCATTAATATCCTAATGGCAAGGTAGTCTTGGAACCACTTGCCATTGTTCAAGTCTTCAATAGACATACAATCAAAAGCCTTTTGAATTTCTTATATGTACATATATGTGTTTATATTACTGTGTATAATAATGTGTGTCCACCACATCGTCATGTTAAAATGTTTTCTTGAACCACGTTATGAAATTGTGCTTTTACAGATTTGTGCTGTTTTGTATCCTGGAGATGCCACAGAGGAGGGGAAACTTTTAAGGCTGAAGCAACAATTCTTCCTGTGCAGTGCATCACTTCAGGTTGGTTTATTATCATTTTAGCCTTCATTATTTTGTTGGTGTAAGAATCACCATTTTTTTCTTTCTATTTTCTGTTCCAGATGACCGTTTAATATTTCAAATTTAATTAAAGTTGAGAAGGTGAAAAGAATCTCACACATTTAGAGAAAATTTTCAGATTGACGTTTTCCCTCACAGTGGTGCTTGATTTCAGATTTCTTGTGTTTTTTGTTTTTAAGATGAAAATTACATATCTAGTCTTCTCGTTAAGAGGCATTTTCAGTTTCTAGTTTGACATCCCGTCAAGATATTGTGATCATCACTCTTTAAATCTTGAAATTACAGGATATTATTTTTAGATTCAAGGAGAGGAAACAGGGGACAGACTCATTGCAATGGTCAGAATTTCCAAAAAAGGTTGCTGTCCAAATGAACGATACTCATCCTACACTTGCAATCCCAGAGCTAATGCGATTGCTATTGGATGAGGAAGGGCTTGCGTGGGATGAGGCATGGGAAGTGACAACAAGGTGCATTCTATTTCATGTTCTTTTAGACTTTCTTGGTTGAAGTTGTTGCCGCACATTCTTCTTTCTTCCATGACTGCTCTCCACTTATTTGTAGTGCTTTTTGCACAAGGAGCTATAAAGTGCTAACTCATAATAATTGAACCAGGACGGTTGCTTATACTAATCACACAGTCCTTCCTGAAGCACTTGAGAAATGGTCACAAACTGTAATGTGGAAGCTTCTCCCTCGCCATATGGAAATAATAGAAGAAATTGACAAAAGAGTAATATTTCTCATCTTTTCTGCTTTGTTCTGTTTATGCTTAAAATTGTCATCTCCTAATGTAAATTCTTGCATCCTGGCAGTTCATTGCTATGGTACGTGCTACACGAACTGATCTTGAGAGCAAAATTCCCAGCTTGTGCGTTTTGGATAACAATCCCCAAAAGCCTGTTGTGCGTATGGCAAATTTATGTGTGGTGTCTGCACATACGGTAAGACATCTATTTTGGGAAATTTACAAGTATCTCATGTAGTTTATTTTGAGCTGTCTTCAACATAAACATATGGTAACCTGGTTATTAGAAAGGCAACTTATTCCCTTTTTCCCTAAGAAAAAGGGTTGGGAGAGCAAGCAAGAGATTGTATGCAATAGTGAATACAGAGTCTATGACTCTAAGGTACGGTCCACCATGTACGTTGGTGAGACTTGAACTCAAGCTTTTAACGAGGAGAAGCAAGTTCTTCCCAGGAAGACACCCATTGGCAGTCTGTTACTCTGCATAAGTGCATATTTTGACTATTCTATTTTATTTCAGAGTCCCATTTTTAGTAAAATTTAATGAGGCTTGAAAATAAATATTTTCTGCTTTCCTTTTGTTTTTTTCCTCCCACAATATAAGACCCCTTATTTCCACATTTGAGCTGTTTGAGTGTTGACGTTGAGAAACTCATTGCTTTCCGTGTCATTGTAGGTTAATGGTGTTGCCCAATTGCACAGTGATATTTTGAAGAATGAGTTATTTGTAGACTATGTCTCTATATGGCCAACAAAGTTCCAAAACAAAACCAATGGGATTACTCCTCGTCGGTGGCTTCGCTTTTGCAGTCCTGAGCTCAGTAACATAATAACCAAATGGTTAA